AACAAGAATTAGATATTAAGATTTCAACCTATCAGAAACCGTGTATTCCGATGTAATCGGTTTCTGATAGGTTAAAATCTTAATATCTAATTCTGTTCCTCTATTGTGTTCAGGCCCTTAAGATGCTCATTGGTCTAGCGCCTTTAAGATGCAGCCACAATAAAAGAAGTAAGGAATTAAGATTAAAAAATGGAAAATTTCAGATCAACCTATCAGAAACTATGTATTCCGATGTATCCGATTTCTGATAGATTAACATCGTTTAATCTTTATTCCTAATTCCTTATTCATCCTATTGTGCGCAGGGCCTAAGAGAAGCGCAAGTGGCGTTAAGTGTTCTGATTGGTCATTGCAATAACGAGATCTAGCAGCCAATTATGACCTAGTTAAAACCGAACACTTGATACGCGTACTAAGTACTATATAAGTACCAAATCATTTGATACGCTCGGTATAAATGCTAGGGTATTACTTTAGTCTTGTACTCCCGAATTGCGAGTATCAGATCAAGCTGGTACGCGTATTAAATAATATACAAAATGCTGGCACGCTGTAAACGTTTAATTCGTTTTGAATCGTATATTAAACTGGCCACTGTTATTAAGTGCAGTTAAAGTTAGAATTAAAGGTTTTAAATCTTGAGAGAGAGAGAGAGAGAGAGAGAGAGAGAGAGAGAGAGAGAGAGAGAGAGAGAGAGAGAGAAGCAGTGAAAACGTCATGTCACCTAACCTGTTCTGAGACAGATCGATGTAAATAAGGACGTATTAAATGCCTAATCCGCACCAACTTGATACGCGTACCAAGCAATTAAACGGTGTAAAAGGGGTCTATGAGATTGATTTCTTGATATTATGAAATGGCTGCTTAATAGGTGCTTTCCATTTGATAACACAAGTCGACAGAAATCGACACAAATGTCGTTCTATCTTTGTTACTTTCTGAATTTCAAGGATAGAACGAACCTTGTGTCGATTTGTCATCAAATGGAAAGCACCCTCTGCTAAGTGCAGCCAATGATCAAAAATGCAATGTGCCGTTACGTATGTATTATGCATTATGCAAAGGTAGTGAGCTTCCGGCTGAAGGCCATCACAAAATAACATAACCTGCATAACAATTACTACGTTTACACGGCACGTTTACGCCGAAGTTATAATATGGATGTTATGAAACTGGCCAATCATAGCTGTTTCTCTAAAGAATGGAATGACTGTGGCCAGTTTCATAACATCAATGTTATATCTTCGGCGTAAAGCGTGCCGTGTAGACGTAGTAATTGATCAATTTTGTATGACTTACGATTACTGTTAAGCCTCGTCTACAATAGTCGCACAGGTTATGTCGGATGTCGCGAGTAGTAGCATCGCAGGAAAATTTGTCGCATGCCGCAAGAGCGTAATTAAATGAGCGTCTACGGCTGCGGTCCACTTAGCGCTTCAAACGCTACAGAGCATTTGTAGCACTGACATGACTGGTCCATTTGACGCTTTGGAACGCTCCCAGCAATCCTGATTACGTCATCAATACGTCATCGTTTTCGCTCCCACTTCGCTCCAACTGCCTCACCTCGAGAGGTAGGTTAGCTGGAGCGTTCTAAGATATTTGGCGGGAAATCACCTTCACTTTCATTTAGATTTTCAAGATGCAACACCAAATTATAGATCATGAAGGTAACATCTATATCCTGACTGAAGAAGAATATCTTCGTGCTTCAAAAGGTAAAATATTTTTTAAATATTTTTATTTTGTTTTTTCTATGCTGTCGATATGCATGAAGTAGAAAAGGTTAGGAATGTTATATACAAAGATAATATTAACTTTGGTTTCTTTCCTTTTAGATTTAGTATATTGTACCCAATTATTAGAAAACGCAAAAGAGAAAGAAAATAATGAAAATATTGTGCAGCAAGAAATACAGTCTGATAATGAAGTTTATGGTATATATTGTATGAATATACTTATGTATATGTATAGCCCTGGGTATCTATCAAGGAACAAGTTGGAATGGATTCCGATTGGAATTATTCTGTTTTCTCTAGAAAACATAACAGAAATCTACAGAATAATCGGATAATTACGATCAGAATACATTCTGACTTGTTCCATAACAGAACGTTTAGTGCTGTCCATGGGCATTGGTTTGACATGTATCAGCATTCATGTCTATTTTTCTTTTTCTTAATGAAAAAAAAAGAAGATAATAAATGTGGACGTTGATATGCGTGAACTTAATAGTATTTATAATTATAAATCTAAGACAGTACTGTGTTATATTCCTGTATTTACTATTCTTAATAAGTATCAAGTTACTTTTTTTCAATAAATAGCGTATAACAGTTACAAATATTTATCGAAAAACTGACTTTCATTTAGCTTTTAGTTAGTTATCGTTATCAACATAAAAATTGCAACGTTGTTATCAAATTATTATAAAAAAGAACGATAAAAGTAACGGCGTTATTTATTTCCTTGATATTACTGAATTTATTCCAATATACACTGCTGATACTGAAAATATGTAGTATACATGAGTTATAAATTTTCAATACTGGCAAATGTATATATCAGAACGAGGCCTAGATATGTATAATGTTTAATTTCAGATGGCTTTAGATGGGCGGATGAACCTACAAGATTACTTTTAGCAACATATAAACGGCATGAAAATTTATTACATACAGGAAAATTATCTGTAAAGAAATTTTGGGAAATGATATCCAACAAGTTAAAAGAAAGGGCATACGACGTTACAGGACAACAATGTAAAAGTAAAATTAACAGATTAAAGAAAACATATAAAAATGTTAAGGATTATAATAACAAAAGCGGTAACAATAAGCGGACTTGGCTTTATTTTGAGGTATATAATTTTGTGTATATTACACAACACACACACACACACACGTGCGCGCGCGCAAGCACGTACACACAAAATTGCACGATGTGCAAATGCATCGCTCCTTATCCAAGCAGAACAACTATAGTATCAAAATGATGTCAAAATGACTCCAAAATGATCATTAAAAGTCATTTTTCAATCATTTCCGATTCATTTTAATGTCATTTTGATATTATCATAACTTGCTATTCTGCTTGGGTATAGTTTCATCTTTTAGTTTTAAAATATAAAATTTATACAACAAACCTCTGATTTATATTTTTTTATAGATCATGGATGAGATGTTTGGACAAAAACCATGGGTGACGCCAATTTTAACTTTAGATTCTTCAAACAGGAATATATTATCCCCTGCCAGTTCTACTTCAAACAACAACAGTAACATCAGTAGTAACACTTACAATGAGATCTCTTCATCTCCACAATCTTCTAAAAGTTCTCGAAAACGTAAATAGATATTATTGATATTTAAAAGAAAGGATTTGCAAATTTCCTATTTAATATTTGTATACAATATGTAATTATTGATTTTTTCTTCTTTCTAATTCAGGACAGAAAGTAACTCAAGATACTGCGTTAGAAAAATTACTCGCAGTTATGGAAGAAAATAAAGAAGAAAGGAAAAAAATGCATAACGAGGCTGTGGAAAGACAAGATCGAATGTTAAATATCTTAGAAAAAATTGCCAACAAATAACAACGAATCTACTTTTCTTGGTGATTTCCAACTGTGATTTTTTTTTAAGTTTGGCTTTGACATTAGTATGTTTAATTAATTTTAGTGAGATGTTAATGTGGGCTGTGCTCTTTTACCACAAATGATTTATTTTTATTAGAATAAGTGAAGCCAATGATAAGCCAAAGATAAGAGAAAACATTATTTTCATATATTTCTCATGTCAAATATCGCACATCACAACACGCTAAAACATAATAATAAGGAATATATCTTTATTGTATAATAAATTTTCTTTTATATATATATAGTTATGAAATTACATTGCATACTTTGAACTGCGTCGACTCTTATAAGTTTCTTTTTAACCTTGTTTATTATTTATATTCAGAGACACCTATTAATTTGTTGTGTTTTGATTACACTACAAAGGTATTTTTTCTTTTATATATTTTATATATAATGTTTAGCAGTATTAATATAACATAAATTTATATATTTGTAATATGTTAGAAACGGATAAAAATTTTTCTTTTTATAATTAAAAAATGTTGTGGTATTATATGTATTTTGAGCGATATTTGAAAATATTTTTGTTCTTGTAACAGTATTACCTTCAATATCCATCTAAAAACTTACAAATTTATTCAATGTTTTTCATTATTTGTGTTTATTTGTATCAACAAATGTTACTTAATCTTAAGAAAATAAAAAAGGAATATTTGTAATTATATTCTTGAACGATTTTATTTAATTGTATTATGAAGAGGTTGTGACTATTTATATTAACATGATTGCACAAAGTCCTACACTGGCATCCCCAATATTTTTTCTTGTAAAAATTATTTCACATTCACTATAAAAGAGTAATAATACACATTAACCTTAATATAGATACAATTAATAAAATTAATTTATATTTTTTGCAGTTTATTATTAAATAAAATGTAATCTTATGATTGAACAGTATGACTTTTATTCATAATTTAACCGTTTTTAGTACAATCATTCAATATTTTCATAATTACAAAAAACGCATATTACTTTCATACATTTCTTATGTTAAGTGTCGCACATATAAAGTTTCTCTTGGCTTCAGCTTCTTCTCTATTGCATCTTTGAATTTCTTGCAGACCTACTGCTATATCATCTATATCATTTAATGTTAATATTTCAAAGTCATCATTTTGTATTAAACATACATTGTGTAACACACAACACGCTAAAACATGATAAGGAATGTATTCAATCAATCCCATGGCTAAATGATGAAGAAGACTGCGCCAACGTTCTTTCAGTAATCCGATAGTTCTTTCCACATACATACGAGAAGAAGAAAGACAAAAGTTATAATTCTTTTGTCTCTGTGTAAGGTGACCATTATCAGTATATGGCACCATTAATTGCTTCAAGAGCGGATAAGCAGCATCTCCTATCAGATGGCTGTCATCTGGAAATTTCGTTGGGTTAGAAACGTAATCTTGCAAGGCTGACAATCGGAACACCCTAGCATCGTGCACGGATCCTACATTTCCCACATATACATGGGTGAAAAGACGCTTATGATCACAAACTACCTATAATAAAACAACAATTATATTTAATTCTTTACAAGCAATAATAGAATTCAAAATAACAAACAATATACCTGGGCTTGAATGGAATGATGACCTTTCCTGTTTACATATGCTTCAGGATTTTCCTTAGGAGCTGGTATATTGATGAACGTGCCATCAATTGCGCCAATAATTCCTGGAAAGCCATTAACGTCAGAGAAACTTTGTTTAATTTCTTCTAGTCTTCTTCCTGTTGGCCACTGTATGAATCTTGAAGCAATTCTACATAACGCTACAGTAACTCGTCGTACTGTCCTTATACATGTGGCTTTTCCTATTCCAAATCTAGTATGTATTGACCTGAAATAATATTATGACTTAAACGGACTGAGTTGATTTATTAATATTAGCAATATAAGTATCATAATTTATACCTATACGAATCTGGTGTTGCCATACGCCATAAAGTAATCAAAAGTTGTTTTTCTGGTGTAATCATTTCATTACCATTTGTGATCCTTTTCAATTGTTCTGCGACTTCTCCTAAGAGAAATTTGAATGTTGTTGGATACATTCTGAAAAATGAAGAATAGTAGAGTAATGAAAACAAGATTTTTATGAATATTTATGCTATCATTATTACAAACTTGAAAATAGTCTCGCTAATGAAATTGTGATTACTATCAGATGATATTAATTTTTTAATATTGCCAATAAAATAATCATATCTAATGTATCTATATGCTTAAACTAGAGATGCTTTCCAGCAAGAAACAGATGACATAAAGACTGTGTTCCAAAACTGCCAGTACCGAAATTCTATAGTTTATATAACGTAAATTATAAATTTCCAACGCTGGCAGCAAATTTGGAATACTAATATAAGATGAATCATTTTGCCTTAGTGTTTACCAATGTTAAATCAAGATAAAATTATTCACTGTATTACACTGTGTCATTTGTGTTTCTTGCTGGGAAACACCCTACATATAACTTTTGTACTATTGTACAATAATTTAATAATAAACAAGATAAAAATTGAAAATAAAACATGAATTATTATCGCTACTAGCCGTTTTCAAGCTTTCTTTCTTATTATAGATATAAATTTAAATTATCATAGAAATAAAAACAAATTAAAATTGCAATTTTACCTGAAATGACTCTTAAATTCTAAGGCAGTAAGTGATGGAATTATTCGTTCCACGTAACCTTCAATTCGAGGCGTTTTTTTTCTAATTGCTCGTTTTGTAATTTCATAACTGATCCATAACCCGATTTCCTCAACATCTTCATATGTATAAGATACATCATTAAACATATTAAAAGTATTTATTATAATTGGAATTAAATTTTCCATTATGATAAACTTGATCGATCTTTTTTCAGATTTATTCCCACTAGGAAATATTTGTAATGAAATATAGGTTAAGATTGCGAGCAATGGAACCGACGCTACAAGTGCTACAAATCTGGTCCACTTCCGTAGCAATTGTAGCATTCGAAATAGTAATGGACCAATCGGAGCGTAGCATTTGGAGCGAAACGTTCAGAGCATTTGGAAGAAGCAAGTGGACCGCAGCCGTATAATAGTCACAACGATTGTTTGCACGTAAAGCCTCGTCTACAATAGTCGCACAGGTTGTGTCGGATGTCGCGAGTAGTAGCATCGCAGGAAAATTTGTCGCATGTCGCAAGAGTGTCGCTAAATGAACGTCTACAATAGTCATAACGATTGTTTGCACGCAATTCGATGACAAATTCTAAACGTCAATTTGCTGTGCTGTGATTGGCTGAGCTCATGCGACACGCCTGTCGCAGTCGCAGAAAGTTGAAGTTGGCTCAACTCCGTACGACAAGAGCTCTTACGACTAGTAAGAGACGAGGCTTTAGGTGGCCTGCACACAATTTCCGTAAAGCCTCGTCTGCAATAGTCGCACAAGCTGTGTCGCATGTCGTATGAAATGTCGCAGAAGTGTCGCATATAGTCGCATGATCGTCGTAGTCGCAAGAGCTCTTGTCGTACGGAGTTGAGCCAACTTCAACTTTCTGCGACTGCACAGGCATGTTGCATGAGCTCAGCCAATCACAGCACAGCAAATTGACGTTTAGAATTTGTCATCGAATTGCGTGCAAACAATCGTTATGACTATTGTAGATGCTCATTTAGCGACACTCTTGCGGCATGCGACAAATTTTCCTGCGATGCTACTACTCGCGACATCCGACACAACCTGTGCGACTATTGTAGACGAGGCTTAAAGCGGGGAGCACAAACTCTTGCATAACGCATAACACGTAATGCATAAGAATATGTACCAATCGAAGTTCTCCGTTTCTTTCCCTTCCATGTAATAGAGAACTCTGGTTGGTTCAATTTCTTATGCCTCATGTGTTATGCGTTATGCAAGAGTCTGTGCTCCCCGCTTAAAACTGGTTCTACATTAGTCTCATCGCAGCGTCGCAAGCATGTCGCAAGCGTTGCGGTTCAATCAGAGTCGAGCTAACTTGATTTTTATTGGGCCACACTTGTGACGTTGCGATGCGACTAATGTAGAACCAGCTTAATGCGGCGTCTACAATACGCGGAATAAGAAATAAAAGTAAGAAATTGACCTGTCACAATCGAATGTGAAAAAATAATCGACTATTAGCGTATTCGATTTACTGACTCGACCCGACTCCGAGTCAACAGTCTGTTCTGTTTAACTGCAAAAGAAGAGCTAATTTGTGTAAGAAATGCAGCTAAAAAGAACATACTGTTGACTCAGTGCCGGATCGAGTTAGTAATCGAATACGCTATATGATTGATCAATTTTTTACTCTTACTTCTTAGGCCGGTATTCATAGTCAATTCTTATTTCAATACCGTCTTAAGTAATGTCTTAAGACGCTAATACAGCACTCTGATTGGTTCGTGACTTCTTAAGACCGTACTTAAGACGGTCTTGAATATAAGATCCGACTATGAATACCGGCATTACTTCATGTATTGTAGACGGCGCATAAAGGCTCGTCTACAATACACGGAGTAAGAAGTAAGAGTAATAGCGTTTTCGATTGGGCAAAAGTTAGTGCGCACCAGTGCGCATTCAGTTCACACCAACACTGGACGAGTTCCATGG